ACTGGGAGCCGTTGCCCGGAGGCTCGGTCCGTCCTTCAGGGCCCTGCTGTTTTGCTGTGGCGAAGGCGCCGTTTGTGAGCCTTGACGGCTGGAAGAGAGCTAGTTTTCTTGTAGGTTCTAGGTTCAGAAGGCAACGTTAGGCACTGGGAGCCGTTGCCCGGAGGCTCGGTCCGTCCTTCAGGGCCCTGCTGTTTTGCTGTGGCGAAGGCGCCGTTTGTGAGCCTTGACGGCTGGAAGAGAGCTAGTTTCTTGTAGGTTCAGAAAGCAACGTTAGGCACTGGGAGCCGTTGCCCGGAGGCTCGGTCCGTCCTTCAGGGCCCTGCTGTTTTGCTGTGGCGAAGGCGCCGTTTGTGAGCCTTGACGGCTGGAAGAGAGCTAGTTTTCTTGTAGGTTCAGAAGGCAACGTTAGGCACTGGGAGCCGTTGCCCGGAGGCTCGGTCCGTCCTTCAGGGCCCTGCTGTTTTGCTGTGGCGGAGGCGCCGTTTGTGAGCCTTTACGGCTGGAAGAGAGCTAGTTTGGGAGCCGTTGCCCGGAGGCTCGGTCCGTCCTTCAGGGCCCTGCTGTTTTGCTGTGGCGAAGGCGCCGTTGTGAGCCTTGGACGGCTTGGAAGAGAGTCTAGTTTTCTTGGTAGGTTCTAGGTTCAGAAGGCAACCGTTAGGCACTGGGCGTTGCCCGGAGGCTCGGTCCGTCCTTCAGGGCCCTGCTGTTTTTGCTGTGGCGAAGGCGCCGTTTGTGAGCCTTGACGGCTGGAAGAGAAGCTAGTTTTCTCTGTAGGTCAGAAAGCAAACGTTAAGGCACTGGGAGCCGTTGCCCGGAGGCTCGGTCCGTCCTTCAGGGCCCTGCCTGGTTTTGCTGTGGCGAAGGCGCCGTTTGTGAGCCTTGACGGCTGGAAAGAGTCTAGTTTTCTTGTAGGTTCTAGGTTCAGAAGGCAACGTTAGGCACTGGGAGCCGTTGCCCGGAGGCTCGGTCCGTCCTTCAGGGCCCTGCTGTTTTGCTGTGGCGAAGGCGCCGTTTGTGAGCCTTGACGGCTGGAAGAGAGCTAGTTTCTTGTAGGTTCAGAAAGCAACGTTAGGCACTGGGAGCCGTTGCCCGGAGGCTCGGTCCGTCCTTCAGGGCCCTGCTGTTTTGCTGTGGCGAAGGCGCCGTTTGTGAGCCTTGACGGCTGGAAGAGAGCTAGTTTTCTTGTAGGTTCTAGGTTCAGAAGGCAACGTTAGGCACTCGGAGCCGTTGCCCGGAGGCTCAGTCCGTCCTTCAGGGCCCTGCTGTTTTGCTGTGGCGAAGGCGCCGTTTGTGAGCCTTGACGGCTGGAAGAGAGCTAGTTTTCTTGTAGGTTCAGAAGGCAACGTTAGGCACTAGGAGCCGTTGCCCGGAGGCTCGGTCCGTCCTTCAGGGCCCTGCTGTTTTGCTGTGGCGAAGGTGCCGTTTGTGAGCCTTGACGGCTGGAAGAGAGCTAGTTTTCTTGTAGGTTCAGAAAGCAACGTTAGGCACTAGGAGCCGTTGCCCGGAGGCTCGGTCCGTCCTTCAGGGTCCTGCTGTTTTGCTGTGGCGAAGGCGCCGTTTGTGAGCCTTGACGGCTGGAAGAGAGCTAGTTTTCTTGTAGGTTCAGAAAGCAACGTTAGGCACTGGGGGCCGTTGCCCGGAGGCTCGGTCCGGAGGCTCGGTCTGTCCTTCAGGGCCCTGCTGTTTTGCTGTGGCGAAGGCGCCGTTTGTGAGCCTTGACGGCTGGAAGAGAGCTAGTTTTCTTGTAGGTTCAGAAAGCAACGTTAGGCACTGGGAGCCGTTGGCCGGAGGCTCGGTCCGTCCTTCAGGGCCCTGCTGTTTTGCTGTGGCGAAGGCGCCGTTTGTGAGCCTTGACGGCTGGAAGAGAGCTAGTTTTCTTGTAGGTTCAGAAAGCAACGTTAGGCACTGGGGGCCGTTGCCCGGAGGCTCGGTCCGTCCTTCACGGCCCTGCTGTTTTGCTGTGGCGAAGGCGCCGTTTGTGAGCCTTGACGGCTGGAAGAGAGCTAGTTTTCTTGTAGGTTCTAGGTTCAGAAGGCAACGTTAGGCACTGGGAGCCGTTGCCCGGAGGCTTGGTCCGTGCTTCAGGGCCCTGCTGTTTTGCTGTGGCGAAGGCGCCGTTTGTGAGCCTTGACGGCTGGAAGAGAGCTAGTTTTCTTGTAGGTTCTAGGTTCAGAAGGCAACGTTAGGCACTGGGAGCCGTTGCCCGGAGGCTCGGTCCGTCCTTCAGGGCCCTGCTGTTTTGCTGTGGCGAGGGCGCCGTTTGTGAGCCTTGACGGCTGGAAGAGAGCTAGTTTTCTTGTAGGTTCAGAAAGCAACGTTAGGCACTGGGAGCCGTTGGCCGGAGGCTCGGTCCGTCCTTCAGGGCCCTGCTGTTTTGCTGTGGCGAAGGCGCCGTTTGTGAGCCTTGACGGCTGGAAGAGAGCTAGTTTTCTTGTAGGTTCAGAAGGCAACGTTAGGCACTAGGAGCCGTTGCCCGGAGGCTCGGTCCGTCCTTCAGGGCCCTGCTGTTTTGCTGTGGCGAAGGTGCCGTTTGTGAGCCTTGACGGCTGGAAGAGAGCTAGTTTTCTTGTAGGTTCAGAAAGCAACGTTAGGCACTAGGAGCCGTTGCCCGGAGGCTCGGTCCGTCCTTCAGGGCCCTGCTGTTTTGCTGTGGCGAAGGCGCCGTTTGTGAGCCTTGACGGCTGGAAGAGAGCTAGTTTTCTTGTAGGTTCAGAAAGCAACGTTAGGCACTGGGAGCCGTTGCCTGGAGGCTTGGTCCGTCCTTCAGGGCCCTGCTGTTTTGCTGTGGCGAAGGCGCCGTTTGTGAGCCTTGACGGCTGGAAGAGAGCTAGTTTTCTTGTAGGTTCTAGGTTCAGAAGGCAACGTTAGGCACTGGGAGCCGTTGCCCGGAGGCTTGGTCCGTGCTTCAGGGCCCTGCTGTTTTGCTGTGGCGAAGGCGCCGTTTGTGAGCCTTGACGGCTGGAAGAGAGCTAGTTTTCTTGTAGGTTCAGAAAGCAACGCTAGGCAGTGGGAGCCGTTGCCCGGAGGCTCGGTCCGTCCTTCAGGGCCCTGCTGTTTTGCTGTGGCGAAGGCACCGTTTGTGAGCCTTGACGGCTGGAAGAGAGCTAGTTTTCTTGTAGGTTCAGAAAGCAACGTTAGGCAGTGGGAGCTGTTGCCCGGAGGCTCGGTCCGTCCTTCAGGGCCCTGCTGTTTTGCTGCGGCGAGGGCGCCGTTTGTGAACCTTGACGGCGCGTTTTTGAAGGTTTGACGGCTGGAAGAGAGCTTGTTTTCTTGTAGGTTCAGAAAGCAACGTTAGGCAGTGGGAGCCGTTGCCCGGAGGCTCGGTCCGTCCTTCAGGGCCCTGCTGTTTTGCTGTGGCGAGGGCGTCGTTTGTGAGCCTTGACGGCTGGAAGAGAGCTATAGCTATAGTTTTCTTGTAGGTTCAGAAAGCAACGTTAGGCACTGGGGGCCGTTGCCCGGAGGCTCGGTCCGTCCTTCAGGGCCCTGCTGTTTTGCTGTGGCGAGGGCGCCGTTTGTGAGCGTTGACAGCTGGAAGAGAACTAGTTTTCTTGCAGGTTAGGCAGTGGGAGCCGTTGCCCGGAGGGTTCCATCAACTATGCACGTGCCAGTGGTTGGTGGGACACTGCTTTCCGTTGGGAGTGCGATGAGTTACTTGAATTCGGCCGGAAGCTTTTGTTGAACGCACCACCGCGCTGCATGTCGGACACATGTGCGTATGCGTGCGACCTGCAAGCAAGCCATTTGCAACGCGAAATTCGTGGCCGCAACCATCACCTCGGCGGTGATCGATTTGTCCTGTTGCCACTTTGCTTTGCACAGATTTGGCGCAGTGTGGGCAGATGTATGTGTACAGTTGTGGCGTAACCGTGTCAGGCCCGACAGCAAGCTGCTGGTTCGATGAGTGGGCAGTGTCCGTTTTGGGAGCTTCTGCTCGCGTGGAAGTTTGTCTTGCTGTGTGTATTTCCTGAATTTCCTTGCGAACGTCCTCTAGGATTGCTGCGTGACGGTGGCGTCTTTCGCGTTGGCGCAAGCGGGCCAGGTAGACTTTGGGATTTGAAACAAGCCAAGCAATCATTGCTTTCTCTCCAGCCCCCCGCTCACCGCCCCAGGCAACAATTCCTGGGGTCGGCGGCAGGGGGCGTAGCCCCTTAATATATCTTATATACATGTCCATACATTTCCAAGTCATGCAAACAACACAGCTCGGAATTCCATCAACAGCACAAATCCAGCATACACTTCCAATTCCTCAATGGGTGGTTTGTCAGGGATAGGTCGTCAAGGAATTCTCAGGTCGCCGCTGGCCTTGTTGATGGTCAGTGCTGGACAGGTCTCAGGGAGCCCAGCTTTCAGAGCAGTTTGCCTCGCAGGATTTTGTCCACAACCAGCTGTCAGGACTTGCCCAATGATGACCTGCGGCGATGGACGAAATCTCAGTGGTTTTGAACCCAGAAACTCTAGCATTACCACGCCCGAATATTTTTTGAATTAGATGCCTAGAATCTTAGAAGGATCATCTAAAAGCCTACGCTACACAGTTGTAGGCAGCACCTGCAACGCTGCAGAGTGCGGTCAGTTCTTTTCAAGTCACTGCACACCCTGACCCCACCGCGCATGGCAAATTACTTCCTTCTCATATTGCTGTACTCACGTTCCTTGTTGACACAGCTTAACTATGCTTCCAGTGCTGGGCAGCATCACCTCATCGACCATGTCATTCTTCACCTTGCCGGCAGTGTCCTGATCCCAGTGCACCTTCACGCCTTCTGATGCCATTCAAATCTTAATAGGTGATTTGAGCAAATACTCCAGTGAAAGTTCCACCAAATCATCGTTGGAAGCTTGCTTGACGAATCTTCTCCACCAATCTCCACCACATGCCGAAATCCACATGAAAACTTAGGCCTGCCACACCCACCCAACTCAGATCTGTCTTACATTCATCATTTCACAGTGCTGCTGTCATCCAGAAGCTCTGCATGGATCCTCCAGCAGCTGCTTTATGACAGCAGCACCCAGCGCAATGGCTGGCACACCAGCCAGGGAACCACCGAACTTGCCCACAGCTGTGCGCCTGATCAGGATGTTGAATGGGCAAAACACATGTCATGATACAATGTGGGAATGGTGTTCTTCTCTCTGTTTGATTTTCTATCTTTGTCCCTTCTCTCTTCTTTTTCGAGTACCTCTGACCACCCAAACCATGAGGTTAGCTTCCCTCATGGTGTGGGTGGCACATGCAAACGAATGGCAGAAAATGACAGAAAATGGCAGAGCACATTGGTAAATCATCTTCACAAATCCATTCTGAGGTTTCCTGGGCCTTGGGCCCCGTTTATCCTCAGGGAATTTCAGAGATGTTTCTTTTAAATGTTTTATTTTGCAAAGTTTGAAATCTTGCGGATTCAATGGAGTGGTCTCCTCGAACGTACAGGTTGAAATGGATATTCGATGGTTTGTGGGGTTCGAGGCCCTAATCCTTTCGGTATACTTGAGCGTGCATCTCCCTTGTTATCTTTGTTTTCAAGTTTGGGCCCTCGAATGCATTGTAATCAAGCTTCAATGCTGAGACTTTGCTGCTTGTCCCGTTTATATACTATATTATACTATAAAACTGTGTGGCAACACTACAAGAATTGATAAAGTCTGCTGCCCGCAGTAGCAACTGGCCTGGCAGCCACCACCACAACCTCCGTAGCCATTGGAACCCAACTACTTTTGAGCCGTTCAATATGGCAACTCGTCCGGACAAACAATTTCAGTCACTTGGCAATCACGATTCCAAATCAAGTCAAACTACCCGGCAAAGCACAATTTCCTCGCACATCGGGGACGCTGCATGTTGGTATCCTGGTGTTTTCTGATACTGAAAGAAAAATGAGTACAGGCAGCTGACCGTGGTCGCATCTGCAGGCTCATGGTCATGTAGCTCATCCACTGTCCGCTCGGTCAGTAACCTGAGCTTCCCCCAACAAAGTAGTGATTTACATTGGCAAAACAGCAAAAATTGTGGGTTATCCATAGTTATCCTAGCAATTGTACTTGCTTGATAGTGGTCACAAGTTACTTAGCTGCCTGATGTAGAAGGTCTCTCCTCACGATCCTAGCAGCACTGCATGCGAATGCCAAACTCACATACCGGGTTCTTCAAAAAAAACAGCCATCCTGTCAAACTCATTGCGAAGAAACTTGCATGCCCCCTTTCCCCGAAGTCAATGTTGTTACATCGCTTTGCTTGGAAAGGCCTTCAAAAAAACAGCCATTTCGGTTCGGATGCGGGCATGCATTAGGCAACAACATTGATCAAGGGGGCGCGGAGGGATCAGGTGTGATGTGACAACATGTAGGAGGATGGCTGTTTTTGAAGAACCCGGTAGTAATATTAACATATCCTCAAATTGATCTGATGGACAGCACAATATAAGAGTAATCCGCCGACCCCTGCCTAGCCTTGGCCCAGGCGGGGCGGCGCCCGGGATCACCGCAGGTGTGCGGCGTTGGCCTGCTAGGACCTCGGCCTGCATGGTCCACCAGACACCAAAGCCTTTGCCACTGCCTTCCCAAGTCACCGCAAACACGTTGCCCTGCAGCGGCAGCCCTTTGCCAGCGCTTGGCCATGTCGCCATATCGCCATACTCCACTACATCCATTTAGAGGGTTTCACAACCTGCGCGAAGCACGGGCCATCAGGACACAAAACCCCCGTGTGGGCCTTTACCGCTTTGCCACTGCCTTCCCAGGTCACCGGCCATGTCGCCATAATCCATTTATATAGAGGGTTTCAAAACGTGCGCGAAGCACGGTCCATCAGGACACAAAACCCCTCTGTGGGCCTTCCCAGGTCACTGCGAACACGTTGCCCTGCAGCAGCAGTCCTTTGCCAGCGCCTGGCCAGTCGCCATACTCCATTTAGAGGGTTTCAAAACGTGCGCGAAGCACGGCCCATCACGACACAAAACCCGTCTGTGGGCCTTTACCGCTTTGCCACTGCCTTCCCAGGTCACCGCGAACACGTTGCCCTGCAGCGGCAGTCCTTTGCCAGCGCCTGGCCATGTCGCCATACTCCATTTAGAGGGTTTCAAAACGTGCGCGAAGCACGGCCCATCACGACACAAAACCCCTCTGTGGGCCTTTACCGCTTTGCCACTGCTTTCCCAAGTCACTGCGAACACGTTGCCCTGCAGTAGCAGTCCTTTGCCAGCGCCTGGCCAGTCGCCATACTCCATTTAGAGGGTTTCAAAACGTGCGCGAAGCACGGCCCATCACGACACAAAACCCCTCTGTGGGCCTTTACCGCTTTGCCACTGCTTTCCCAAGTCACTGCGAACACGTTGCCCTGCAGCAGCAGTCCTTTGCCAGCGCCTGGCCAGTCGCCATACTCCATTTAGAGGGTTTCAAAACGTGCGCGAAGCACGGCCCAGCACGACACAAAACCCGTCTGTGGGCCTTTACCCCTTTGCCACTGCCTTTCCAGGTCACCGCAAACACGTTGCCCTGCAG